AGGACTTTTCACTGAGGGTAGAAGGCAAAGGATGCTTGTTGTTTATTCCCTTACGTCAAGTCAAAGTGGAAAAAGAATTTACCTGTTGGCTGCGCCTCAACCTTAAAGTGAGCCAAATCAAAATGTTCTTCTCTGCGTATCCAGCATTTCTAAATCATCAATTTATATTCAGTATCACTTAAGTCTTCCAAGGTTTGGATAAATGATGATGATGTTAAGCTTTCTTTAAGATGGCCATCTGTTTGTACATTCTGAATAAGCACCTGCATCTCAATTTTATCTAGTATGTCTGGTCATGTGCTACATGATGGCGGTTATCAGAGATAAGGAAATAAGGACACCATGTAGCCACCTGCTATTCATTTGGTTGTGCAGGTTGTAAATACCTTTTTGTCAAATACACAATTTGAAGTTATGAATTTGACTACCTACCTACGTTCATGTAAAATAGCAACATGTGAGTGTCCATTGACGAAGCTGTACAGGTTGTTTTCAGTCCTCATGCACCAGCCCTTAAAAAGACTTTTGTTTTTTCAGTGTGATAGTTAGCAGATCCTTGAAAGCACTGCTTCAGTCCGGCCAAAACAAAAACGGTCATTGTTGTTGGCGATGCGAGAGCATAAGGTTCTAAAAAGAACCAACTGAACTTTCAGTAGTCACAAGTTTTCTTTTCTTGAGAGTAAACAAACGGTGATAAAGTCATTTCTTGGTGCCAAATCAAAGGGATCAGAGTACAGATTCATGATAAGACAGTCGCACACACTTTTTAGTTTAGTTTACCTTTGTGCACTTTATCATAAAGATAAATCAAGCATAATATAAAGTGAATGTGATCTGATAGTGTCTCAGTCATAAAACTGAGACCTATCCCTGTTCTTTAACTTCACCCTATCTCTCCATGCTGGAGCTTTGCCTTAAATATGCATTTAATATAATATATTACACTGGTGTGCTGTGAGGCAAGTCCAGGTGTGCCGTGGGATTTTTAGAAAATTGTACAATATTATTATTCCAATACTACTATACTACTACAGGACTCCAGAGTGCGACCATTTAAATCTGTGAAGTGCCACTAAAAATGTTCCTTGGTCGCACCCTTTGCAGAAAATATTATCTGGTGTGTCTCTGGTCTCACACACACACACACACACAAACTAAATTGACATTCAAACAAATCAAATACAATCGTTGTCACGAGGGAATTATTAGTGTGTCACACAACGAAGACCTTGATTGACAGCCAGTGTGAATGAGAGCAACTTTAAAAAGAGAGAGAGAGAAACACAGGTAAGAATGGATGACAACAAGTGTTTTTGCGTAAATAATAATACCGGTGTGCCTTTCGATTCTGACTTGCCCTCTGGTGGACCTTGGGCATAAAAAGTTTAAGAAACCAATGTGTTAGACAACCGTAACTGCTCATAACTTGAAATAGCCTTCTGAAAGACTGCTTTCCAGTGTAGACCTCAAGGAGCCATTAAATTTTAATGTGAATCTTTCCCCATAGAAAAAAAATCAAGGGCTCGTATCAACTTTCAAGGACACATTACACCGTGTCTGTGCTTTTTTTATTCGGAGGGGGGAAAAAAAATAAAATCAATTCCTGGATCTCGAACCGGCCTTCAGCCTTTCTGGCTGTGATTGAAATGAGCATTTCCCTGTATGAGGATCGACTCAGGTTCCCTCCCTTATGCTCTCAGTAATAGAAATTACTTAAGTGGCAAAGACTCTGTCCAGCAGTACTCACTGATTCAGAGCGGACTCTCAGGCCTCAGCTGTGATTGAAATTCTGTTTGGGTGAACCCAACAGTTCTGCACAAACTGCTATTCCCCATTCAAAGTTCTTTCATGCATGTAGCACTGAAGGGTGTTTGCCCTGCTATCACCCATTTTGATTGTCTTGGGACTTTGAGATTTAAAAAAAGAGAAAAAGAAAACCCGCTGGAAGAAAAACTCCTGTCAGTGCTGTCAGCTAACTCACCTGTCTACAGACGAACCAGAGGGGAAGAGGACGAGAGCACAATGGACAGCCCTGCGCCAAGTCTTCCCTTCCCTGACCCACCAGAGTGTGGAAACCACTTTCACCACTAAGACACATTCTCGTCCTCACTGCAGAGTGTGGTCAGAATGACTGTCTCATAGTGAAAACACACTTTTGTTCTCTTGGTTCAATCCTTTTGGCCATTTTACATCTTGCTGGAATCTCTTGGAATTCTCTGTCCCAATGTTTTTGGCTGGATTGCTGCCAATTCCTTTGTCTCTCTACCTCCCACTTCTCCTCCCACTCACAGGAGCCGTTTTCACATTGCGATATCATTGTTTTTCTGTCGGTTGCAACCATGAACTTTGCTGGTGCTGTGCCAGTTCCAGCTCTCTGCTCATGTTAGATCATCCTTTGCAATACTCACTTCTCTCTCTCCGCTCTTTTATCACCACTATTTTCACTAGGAGCTCGGAGCCTATACTCAGATGTCCATAGCATCACATTTGACTCATTCTCAAAGAGCAGAACAGAAAGATCGTGTTTATTGATGTGCTCGGTCTTTGAGGAGGGCCACAAAATGCCCGAGGGCTATAAAATATAATGTGCAACATGCTCATACTGGTTTGCACGGAACAAGATAGGAGAATTGAATAGCAGCCACCATGCAACATCCACAATAACGATAAAAAATATGCTGCTTCTGTTGAAGATATAGAGAAATAGTAAATTCCTATAAGAGCACTCATGAGGTAACCGCCACAGCATTGCATGTTAATTTAAAATGTCATTATCTCAGCATTTACCTGTGAAAGTTGAACCTTTATTAAACTATATTACTTCTTTGCTTGATTGCAGCAGGTTTTGTGCTTGTGTGTTATGCACAATGGTATAGGATAAATGTAATTTCTATGGGGCAACCAGGTCATAAATCTGGGCTCTGACATGTTCACTGTGAAGTTTCTTGTCGATATTGTGTCATAGGATGTATTGATCCCGTTTCGCCATCATTTTTCATGTTGTATACCAGCATTTAGCTACGATTCTACCAAAATGTCTGTGATGTCTAGTCATGATTTATGACACTGCTACTTAAGTAATTCTGATTAATTCTTTCTGTTTCTGTGACTGATGTATCTGAAACTTACAAAATTGGATTTTTGTCAAGAAACCCCATGAATATTTAACTAGAATCACACTCATACCACCGCAGAGGCCCAACATCCTGAAACCCCACTTAAATGGACTAGATCCAGATTTTTTGCTGGATCTGCACCAAATTGGACACTCACAAATATCAGTCAAATAAATGTGCCTGTTTTCTTCATCAGGATACATGAATTATTCAGAGAAATCAAAGAAAAGTCTACAAATGTCATATTTCACAATGTTTTTAACATTTAAAGCAAAAAAAAAAACCTGGATCAGCACCAAAATGTAATGCCTGATATTCAATGTGCAGCTGCTATTGTAAATAAAGGAACATATTTTCTCCTTGTAATGACGTACACTGCCAAACATAATCTAAAGGTGCAGTTCACCCAAGTGATCTTTCTAATTAATAATCTGTATCAACTTTTACAAATAAAAATACATTGAATGTCTCATGAATTTCATGACCAGTCTGGTATTGTGGTAAACGTGTAACAATCAAACAAAGCTTTTATGGTTGTCAGTTCCCAACTGAAAACACTCGCAACTTTGCAACAGGCTAAATTGTACTTTGAATTCTTTGTTATATAAATATAACAACCAGAAACATTTTTTTTCCAACATTTAAGTAATTTAATTATTATATTCCACTTTAAAATGCAATGTCATGTTAGTTTTTTTGTTGTAAATATATTGAGAATGCAAGTCAACCCTTCCAACATAAACATTTAGTACAGTAGAAAGTCTTTAAATACAGAATAAAACAAACGTAATGATAATTGCATTCAGTCATTTACATTCAGCAGACGCTTCACAGCATAAAGGAACAGATACATGACACGTCTGTACTTCTGTTGTGTTCTGAACAGAGTGTGACTCACTCACACTGTTTGAACACACCTGGCATTATTACTTTACAGTGGTGTATAAGTGATTGGGTTGAGGCCATAAAAAACCAAGCTCTTATCACTATGGCTACGGCTGCACCATGACCCCACCTCATTATAAAGTTTTCCATACTATATTTTCTCTCAAAGAAAGAACAGAACACAAAAAAGAGGACAAAGTTAGTTCATAAACTTTGAGTCAAACAAAAATAAACATATTTTCATGTGACAATACTTCAGCACAATAGTACAGATTCAATAGTTTTTTGCATTTCATACATTATTTATAATACTGACATGTGTTGGTGAGTGTAAAAATTTGAATATTTTAGTTTCTAGTATATATTCAGTCCTTTTACTCCTCTTTCAAACGGCTCAACAGACACAGCAATCAGACTTGTTTTCAAATCTGAGCTGATTGCTCACACTGTAATTTTAAAGTGACCAGACTGGGTTTGTGTATTAAGGGAGGGTCATAAGTTTCTGTAATGAGTCATCATTGTGACGTTTGAAGAGTTTAGCCTGTTGTTAGTTGTACCGTTGTTATGCCTCGGTCACAAACACTGACCACCGAAATCCAAAATGTTCCTCAGTTTTAGTCAAAGGTCATGTTTTTTGACACAACTCAGGAATTAATGCCCCATATATGATAGAGAAATGACTAATTGGATAAAAATAAAGTCACTACATTTTATAACGGTCAAAGGTCAACCTCACTCTGACATATTCTACAAAAAAGACTTTCATTCAACTCCAAAACCCAGGAACAAAACAAAAACTAGAAGGACATGACATTATGACTCAACTTGGCTGGTTCATACATACAACAATGAAAAGCAATCATCCAATGAGTTATGTTTTCACTTAAGCGCCCATCCCCTCAACTGTCTCCTCCCTCTTTTGTTATTAAGGCTGCTGCAATGAAAACATCTCCACACTTCTGACCCAATTTAAAAAACAAAAGATTATAGAGAACAGAGCTATTCTTGAATTTGTACCATCCAACTCCCCAGAACAATTTGCTTCGATCTCTCCTCGCCTCCGTCATCTCCTTCACCTTCCTCCTCCTCTTTGGGAGGAGTCCAGTTCCATTTACAGTTTGTCCGTCTGTATTCACTATTGTCTTTGGACGCAGCGTCGTGAAGGATCGCAGGCATCCAGTTTTGTTTGTAACCTGTCTCATCACAAGACGGTGTGTTCTGACATTGCGGGCTCAAATGTGGAACAGGTGCCTGAGATTGGAAATAATGGCTGTTGGCGTATGGCTGGGTTGGTGTGTTTACAGTGCTGTCAACACACCCAGAGTCCCACCGCTCCATGCTCTCCAAGCTGTGCAGCGACGCCAAAAATGGTCCTTCCTCGTCAGAGTCTATGAGGGCCGATAATAAGGGTTTTCCCAATGTGTCACCTGTGCAGTTCTGTAACTGAGGAGTGAGCGAAGGCAGCACGAGCTGTCCGTTATCGTCACGCACCGTGTGCAACTGCAGAGGTATGGCGGCGTTAGTCTCACAAGCGTCCAGATCAGGTAATGGATGTACTCCATGTGACATTAGCTTTGGACCACCTTTATCACAGAGTTCTGAACTGAAAGGCAGTGGTAGGTTACAGGTCTCTGTCTCGTCGGTGGTAGCCTGCTGAACATGTTGATTCTTATCCACAGGTATGTGAGCAGCCACTGAACTGTAGATTTCTGAGGACTGGCTGCTCATTTCCAGCTGATTTGAGGTCGGACTGTGTGCTCCATTTTCCTCAGATGACCCACTGCTGCCTTGCCAGGCGAGGAAGGGCATGTCCTGGGGTGAGTAACCCCCAAACCTATCTGAAGACACATGTGGCTTCACCTGGATTGAGGGGTAAAGTTCACTTGGACAGCTGACCACCGGTGTAGAAATGATGATACGATTGTCTGAAGATTGTTTTTGATGCTTGAAGATGCCAGAAGTGGTTACCTTCTAAAAAAGACAGAAGCAGGAAATCAGTGCTGGATAACAGGTTTGGTTTCAGAATGTATATTTACACTGTGGAAGCTGCATGATAAAACTTGAGCCGTACACACGACGGCTCTGCTGATCTATTAAACGTATTCGATACAGTTTACATTCACACAAAAGGACAAAGCCAACATGTGTACGTAGCATGTTCTGAGGGAAACGCCTTATCTCGACAAGACTTGAACCACAATATACGCACTTCTCATCAATTAAACCAGCATGAGTCACTGGATTCTCTGTCACTTCCCTTGAACAACATCACCACAGTGAACCGCTTGTTCAATTACTTTTCTGTTGCCGCCTCGCAGCCACACTGAACATGTGTGCAGTTATTAAAGTGCCCGAGGGCCCTGATTTTCCTGTAATGCAGCATTTCCTTGTTGTAACACAGAAACACCAAAGTACACCGAGAAGAGAATAATCTTACCAGTGACTGTGGAATGTTGGCTTTCTTTCCACCTTTCAAATAATTGCACGTCCACGTGACCGATATCACGATGACGACCACCAGAAAAGCAGCAATTGAGTAAAGCCACGGTAAAAGCATCTGTGGGTTATCTGAGGGAGAAGAGCGTTAGTGTCATGTGTCTGGGAAGAAAAGAAGCCGCTCAAGTGTGGAATCAGATAACCCCAAGCACGTTTAAAAATATATGGTTAGGAAAATTCCCTTTTCGACGAGTCTAGGCATGTTCTCAGATTATGACTGTAACATCCCTGGGACGTTGGGCTGGTACTGTGGTACTGGATGTACCAGTGTATATTACTACTTGGAAGTAATTACATGTTGGTTAACGGGAAGTATTTACAACACCTTCAGGAATGAGATCGCTGTTACTTTGAATGCATTTTGGAATTTGACATGATTGTGAACGTGTGTAATATAAAAGAATAACACCATCTGCATTTATTAGGTCAGGTTGAAGAGTTCACTCGTGGAGGGAGAACACACTGGTCATGCATGAGATCAAATTGTCCTGGATTGGCTCTTCATTACGATCACTCAAGGGTTGTTAAAATGATTTTAGAAGAATGGAGCTGAATTATAAATAGAAATATGGTAATTGTCAGTACTAGTATTTTTCCTCTTTGTAGTTTTAACTAGTGGACTTGATGTGTTGTAATGTGACAGTACATCAAAACTGTTTCCATGTAGCATAAAGTAAAGCGAGTTGTGAACGAGTATTAACAACATTCTGCCATTTTCTCCGCAGCAGGTGGGTGCTTAAAAGCTCCCCACTTAGTTAAATGTCACATACAAACAAGTGGAATGTTTTGAAAAGTTTTTGTTAAATGTTAAAAAGCTTCCTTTACTTTTTTATAAATGTAGTTATGTGACACTATTACCTTTATTCATTAAAAAATGGAAATCTCGCTTGTGACTAAAACATGTAATGACATTTGATAATCAAATATTTCATGAAGTATTAATGAGCTTATCAATATATTGTGTACTTCTTCTCACCTGGTAATGTGACACAGAACAAGGCCTTCTCACTCACGGCGCGGCCATATTCAGAAAAAGGCTTGTAGAACACATGGCCGCAGTATTTTGTTCGGTTGTTCTTCAAGTTGATGACAAACCGGCCGGTGGTGTTTTCATTGACCTGGAGTCACAGTGGATTTGGTCATTTTCTTCAGGAAGTCTCAAACACTTACTGTTCAACATGTGTGTATAGACATGTAAATTAAATGATTATTGATATATTGCTCAGTTAAAAGTGAAAAAGAGGTGGGGATGAACGGATCACTCACCAGCGCAGCCCACTCTGGTTCTGTGATATGTAAGGTATATATAATCCCAACTTTGGATGGCCCATTTTTGCTCTTGCTGATGATTTCTGCCACGGAGACTCCATTTGGCCCCAAGGGCAGAGTGACGTTAACGAACAGGGAGGACACTGTTGTGTATGTGGTCAGGTTGGGTGCACCGAGAGTGGCTGCAGAGAGAAGGATGGATGAGTTAATGTCACAACAGGACACATGAGTGACATGCTTGAGTGGAAGTGAAGATATCTTACTCTCTGCTATAGGTTTGAACCTGGTGACGGTGCGGCCAAGCACGCGGCCGTTAACGAGCACCTTAGCATGGTAGTGAACGTCAGGAACCGATGGGGTTTCTGCAGTCAGGTCGCATGTCAGAGCGCTAATGTTCTGGCACTCTGGTTTTATCTGGAACTGCTCTCCATCATAACTGTAACGAGTGGAGGGAGAACTCTCTGTGATGCTGAAACCTTATCAACATAGAGGGTTCACTCACTGGTACATTTGACCCAGATGTTTATTCGTCAGGGACTTTCGAAAGAATGAATATTCCCATTAAGACAGGGAATCACAATATTTTTTCAGCTTCTCTCCTTTCTTTTGTGTGTTAAGTAGGTTTCTGTGTTTTTGTCTGTAAAGTTAAGAATACTTAAGTCATAGGGTTCGTATTATGACAGCATAATGACAATTTCTTCCTTTTGGCTGATTCGCTTGATTCCATCAGTAATGAAGATCTATTGCGCAGCAGAGTAAGTCAGTAATTTTAGGTGGGATCAAGTCAGCGTTTGGTCGTTTCATGATCATCTCCAATTTGAGATGTAAAATACAAAATCTGCCAGTTTAGAGGTAGATCCACTGCATCTGTTCTTAATATATTCCTGCAATTAATGTAAACAGACCAACTCAAAATGTTAATTATCTCATCAGCAAAACAATAAAACACATTTTTCTTTCTTAGACCCACATTGTCATATGGATTTGCACATGGAGGCACAAAGGTGGAAGATAACAATTGAAATAAAGTAGTGGTACTATTAATAATAATCACCTGTCATCTTGGTTCTTACCTCATGTACTGGACACTATAGAGCACCTTTTCCCCTGCGGAGGTCGGCTCCACAGGGTCCCAGTGGAGTATATTGTGAAAGTTCTTCGAGACAAAACGCACTTTTTCATTTCCAATTGAAAGACAAGCTGAAAAAAAAGTTAAAACAAGCAAAATTAATGACAAAAAAAATCTGACAGTTGTATAAATATGGTACATTTGTATTCTTTATGTTTTCAAGCTTGTGCCAGAAGGACAGTCTTCTGTACGGGACAGGTTTTAGTACATGTATCTCGTCTCTATCTACATGGCAGCCCAGACTCAAATCACAGCACACACTGTGACACTGTTTAAGCCCCAGCATCCACTCTCATCCCGTTTCCCCATGTCTGAAGTCATGGAGAGGCACAGTTACTCAATTTTCACACTGAAAACCAAAGTCTGAGTGAAGCGGGAGATTATGCAAGATGGACTTTGGTTCTGCTGGTGGCTGAAACTCAAGCCTGCACCTTGTCAGTCATATCTTTTCTATGGGGAGGGCTGGCGTATGGAAGATGTATAGATAAAGATTCATACATAGAACACTGTCAGGATGTAAAGCCTTATCCTCATAGCTCATGGTTTACCAATCTAGAGCATATTAGTTTTAATATTATAGCCTTTGTAAGTTATTGGAAATGTGAAGGCCACAAAATTACCCAGTGAGGTGACCATTCAAAATTTGCATTTTTATAAGCAGCATAATGATATAATCAATATCACATCAGCCAGACTCTAAAATGAAATTGCATTTTTCATTGATCACTGTCATTTATAACTGAGGTTCTCATTGTGCTTCCTTCAATTTAAATGAGAGCGAATCACTCTCTGTCAAACAAATCACTCTGCTTTATCGCCTCAGTGTTATTATTTATTTCTCCCATTTAGTGTGACTGTTGGTAATCAACATCAAATCAAATATCCATATTACTTCCTGTCTACTCACCGTAGCAGAACAGCAGGAGGATGAGGACGTCCACAGACCACATCTTCATCAGGTATGTCGGCTTCTAAAAGATCCCAAAGTCTGTGCCTGTATCATCCGCTGCTGTGCTGGGTACTGTCAACTAAAGCGATATATAATAAGCTCACCCAAAGAAACGATAAAATCCTTGTCAAACAAAACCAGCGTTGATGTCAAAAACCACTTTAAAAGATTAAACTGGTTCTGGGTTGCGGCGCATTTTCTTGACTCCACTTCTTCAACCTCTCTCATGCGTCCTGAGAAAGGAGTGGCACAGGTGTGCAGGTGTACTTTGGCATATGTTATCACTTTGTTCCTGTTTTTCTGCTGCTCGTGTTCCACCCACTTGGCATTCTTTTTCCAGACTCCACTTCCCTTTTCCTCCTCCCTCCTCTCTGTCGCTCGTCTTTCAGGTTATTGCTGGTTCTATCATTTACTGGAAACAGTCAAGACTTACAGAGAGAAGACAGAAAGTGAAAGCACATGGTGACATGTCTTCAGGTGTGTACCTGCCTGGTTCACAGACCGGCTGAAACAACAGACATTTGAAACAAACAAACAAACAAAAGCAGAAACTAAAAGGCTTGTTAACTGGTTACAACGTGTTATCTTGTCCCAAATAGGTTCCTTTAGTGCAACAGCACATACATCTAGAGAACAATGTATTAGTTAGAGAACTGTTGTTGTAGTTCAGAGTAGCAGCTGTACATGTGTAATACAGGAGTAAACGTCAGTGGTTTCTCATCCAACGACAGATGATCTCGAACCAGAACTGACCTGAAATCTGCTTCGGTGTCTTTTTACAATCAAAAATATAACACATTTAAACAGATTCGTTTTCTATACATCCATACAAACAATAATAAAAGAATAATTGTATACAAGCTGCTTGTCATACAGTCAATTATTATGCAGTTGATCTGAAACAGTGAAGAAAGACTGAACATTATAACCTTCATTTCCATAGAATGTATTACAGGTTCACGCCAGGATTATGACTGGACTTAATGAACTGCAAACTCAGTGGATATTACCACACTCAAGTAACCCCATGCTTGTTTGGCCGTCGGTCAAAATACTCAGCGTGTTTTGGCAGGGTAGTGTCCTTAAATTACTGCACACACCTTCCGGGTCACCTGTTTGCTCATGCTGTTTTTGGATGAGTTGGTAAAGATGAATATTATTACCTGAATTAAATGTTTAATTGGTTTCACTCAGAAGATTCTCCTGTGGGTAAACTCTGGTAAAGAGCAAAAGTCTTATTTAGAAAGAGCTGGAGTCTGATCTCTGGGAATTTGAAATAATCATCAGTGTTAAAAACCCTGTTCTCCACATATATGAGATGTTTTTTTACTTTGTTGTAAAAGCAATACTTTCTTAATTTTGCTCAGTCTGCAGCTGTCTTTAATTCAGTGAGATAAATCATATTTAGTGGAGGAGGCTAAGTCAGGGCAGCAGTTTGCTCATAAATTATTCAAACTCTCAGTCAGTTAATTTGTAAAATCCAAACTTGAGAGAAGCAAATGTGATTGTTTGCTTTTACTCTTCCTGTTTGGTGCCCTCTCGCTGCACTCTTAGTTTCCCTCAGAGAGGAGATGCTGAACACACAGAAGGAATAATCTACTGCATGTCCCTGGTTTACGTTGGACACCAGCAGGGTTTTCACTGTGAGAAGAAAAAAACACTATTCTGTTATAAGGTCGCCTTGTTTGTCACAGAGCCTTGAAAGTTTCCTTTGCCTTTTGTGAAAAGTTTGTTTTGATACTCCAATTTCCATTTCATATCCTTAGAGCGGTGGAAAGTAACCAAATACATTTACTCAAGTTCTGTGCTTGTACATTGATGATGTACTTGTACTTTACCTGAGTCCTTCCATTTAATGCTATAACACATTTGCACTGCACAACATTTAAGAAGCAGGTATTGTAATTTTCACATATTACATTTGACAACTTAAGTCACCAGTTACTTTTCAAATTCAGTTTATTACATCATAACACAAATATTATCAACAAATGTTATGAAATGTTATCATACGACTTTAGATGAGACACTCATCCATCTCCTCAGGTGAATTTATAAGCAAAACATAAAATGATTAAAATCACTTCCAACACAAGCTGCAACATTAATTTGCTGCAAACTCAATACATCAGTAACAAATGTTGTTCTGTGCAGTACTTTGTTATATTTTTTCTGTACTTTTACTTAAGTACCTATTTATATTTTGAATGCATGAGTATTTCTACGCTGTGCTATTGCTACTTTAACTTCAGTATAAAGGTCTGAGTTCTTCCTCTATCATAACAGTTTGAATGGTTTATTATTTACTGTTGGCGTGTCTTCCTTTTCACCAGGTTTCTGTTCCATGAGGCTGAACTTATCTTTGTAAAACTAATATGTGAAGCACAGATTGATTTTTGTTCCTCTACCAAAGCAAACAACTGAGTAATCTCATTAAAACCCTTATTGATTTTGTGTATTTTTCTAATATTGCATGCACTGATCTTTGTGTACACAATCTGGCGATCGTCAGGTGCTGTCTTTTTTTTTGTGGGTTATGGTCAGGGACACTTTATTATAGACAACAACATCCTGGCAGTGATTTGCTTCAATGGTTTATTTTAATGAGGTGCTTGTTTGACTACTCTACCGTAACCAGTGTCATTACAATGTGCCACAGGGCTGCATAATCATAAAAAGCTCTGCCTCTGATTCGAAATCTTCGAGATCATGAATCCACATCAAAATTGTTTTTGACATAAGATTTTAACTGTGATGTACTGGCTAAAATATTCAGTCAAATTTTTTCATTCAAACTTACTTGGACAAACATCAATGTAATAAAAAACTACCAAACATGTCAGAAACTATCTTTGACATTTTTTAATTGACATCTGCATTGACTGTTTAGTTTGGTCCATTTCCCATCCACTTACATGGAGGAGGCGGGGTTTATGACCTATACTGCAGCCAGCCACTAGGGGAACATCAAGATGATTTGGCCTCAGGTTTGGGGAGTTGTCATGTCGTCCATCTTTATGTACAGTCTCTGGGCTAATCTTGAGAGCGCTGTTGACACTATTATGTTAGAAATACAAGCAAAATATTTTTGGGAGTTTCAGCATAAAAATAAGAGTACATGGACTTTGAACTGAAGAGCTACCAGACAATTTCTGTTTTATCAAACATCAAATTCATACGCGCAATAATCCTGACCCCATTTTTGAGAACCATCAGCCCTGATAAAACTAAAATGGCATAAATCACCACCTTACAAACCAGCAGAAGAAAACCTTATGAACAATTCTAAGCAAGGCAATGTCACGTTCTTTAGGACCACGCTTGATCAACGATTTTTGTTTGAAAACAGAAAAACACCACATGATGTTGATATTCAAGAGATATTCATAAAATAATAAAAACAACATTTAGCCCCATAACTTCAGTTTTAAGTGTCACACTTTTTCTTTAAAGCTCAAAGTAACTCCACTTTCAAGCAAACAAACAATAATCAATGACATTTTTGCTTGGCTGCTCAGTTTGACACCATTTCCAGTGCAGCACCTTGTTTTCATGTTGCGCCTCAGTGATTTTCAGAGTCTTCCCCTTTCCCCCCTCATCACCAAATGAATTCACGGCGGAGGCATCCCTGAGAGGAGGAGAGGCTTTGATGTGGTTGGACACAAACTAGGGACATGTGATGTACTTCTCCAGGCTCTTGCACTTCAAGAACTTCATCAGTGAATCATCCTTTTGTGCTGTCACAGCAAATCAAATGTATCTTGCATCTCTCGCCTTGCCAGCCTGCTTGAGTCGCAGGGACTGAGCGAAGGCTTTGATCTACTTTGGTAAACAAAAGGTGGAACCAGGAAGATTCTGGCTCTGGATCAGGTTTCGGTTATGAGGAAAGGCTGTGTAATCAATTCCTGTTAGAAATGTAGTCAAGCAGAAACATTCTACAGAAGCGCTACGAATCTTTATATTCTCATTTCATTTTTGAAGAAGCCTGAATGTCTGTCTCATACATTTTCCTTTCTCGTATTCTCTACTCAAAACTGTAATATCCAAAGATAATTCGATTTTTCTTGGAAGAGGAAAAAAGGCAGATGGAGTAAAAAATTACCATGCAGTGAAGAATAATAGAATCTTGTATCTATCATGTGTGACAAACAATTGACACTGAAATTTTTTACTGAAAGCGCTGAGGTAGGTAGGAGCCCAATACACAACAACCACAGTCCATCGCTGTTATGTTCTGTGCATCTGCCATTTGAAATTAATTTTAAACATTCACATCCAAATGAAATTAGGAATATGTAGGCTATGGAAAGAGAATACGTGTCTTGAATCTAAAAGGCAGTCAGTACATTCAAGGTCATTTTTAACCAACCGTAAAAACATTTTAAGGTTTAACAACTGCCTACTTTTAGTTTTTAAAAAAAAAAGTAGGGCTGGCACAAACAGTCCATTATCTAATAATCTGTTAATTATTACGTCAATTATTATTTGATTTGTCTGATTGACATCAGAAATCTGTGAAAATGCCCACTGTTCTCAAATGATGTCTTGAAATGTCATTTATTGTGTGACACAGAAAAGCAGCAAATTGTCAAATTTAGGAACCAAACACCAGAGAAAAATAAAAAAAATGGATCGTCAGAATGACTGATCTGCAATTAAAAGACTTCTATCTCCACATTAAAACATCCACCACCTACAGCCTTTACTGTCACTGAATGAAAAATACACATTTCAACCAAGCGAGCAGATCTGGATAAACAGGTGGATCCAGATTTGTTTTGTTTTCCCGCTTTCTTTACCCGGTGAGATTTGGCGTTTGTACGTATGAGATGTCTGAGCTGTTAGCTGTTGACTTTCTCTGTAAAGTATAAATGGATTCTTTGTCTATTTAGTGCGTCAATGAAAAGACAACAAGCTGAATGTTTTTTTTTTTGCCAAACTTATTTTGCTTTTCTTCCTTTAATCCTCTCATCACCCCTCAGACCTACACACACGTATACC